GCTCCTCAAAGCTTAACAGCTTTCAGCTTGCCAAACAGTTCTGTTTTCAGAAGACTGAAACTAGCTTATTGGGGAGCTTCAGAAGGAGTTCCAGGAGAAAAGGTAGCTCCCTTTACAAGGCAAATGTCTTGTTTATACCCAGGAACAAAGAAGGAATTAGATTCTCATATCCTTAGAAACCTAGTGTCCGGTCTAGCTGCTTAGTAGCTCTGTTGAAACACCAACTTCATAGCAAGAGCTGAGTTGGACAGAGGGAGCTGAGAGCCCTTAAATTGGCAGGGTTTGTTAACATTGTTTTGTATAATCCATTCTGAGATTGGGGCTTTAATCTTTCTTTCCAGCTTTCACGATGATGTCCCAAAGGACTATAGGCAGGTGTCCTTAACAGCAGTGAAACAACGATTTGAGGATGAGCGTTATGAAGAGATAGGCAAGGAGAAGGTGAGTGAGCTTTTAGTCTGTCTTTGGTGTCTGACATCCAGAGCAAATCTACCATACAGCAGGATGTGATAAACTACAAATAATGGGAAGTGGACTCTAACTTAAGACTTTTTTGGAGGAGAGGATATCTGAGTAAAGTGGTAGCTTTAAACTTGATCTGTGGGACATTAACTGCTCTGTTTGAGTACATGTGGGAAGAACTCACTGGGATAGATTTCTCTTGGAAAATAAATAGCCTCCTCCTGGCTATTTATTCATTCTGGGAATCTCATGGTCTAATTCTTACTGGCTGGTCGATATTTTTTTTTTTTTTTTTTTTTTTTTTTTTTTTTTTCTCAGATGATGAGTTACAGCCAGCTCTGTTCAGTGCTGGGTGTGAAACAGGAGGACCCGGAGCCCAATCCCTTGCACACGAATGTGGTGGAAATTCAGACTTTCCTGAGCTCTCCCTCTGGCAAGAGAACTAAAAGGCCAGTATAACTCCTCACTGTAAATGCTGCTGAAGATCAGCATGAGCTTTTCCTTCTCTGGTATCCTGAGGTTTCATTCTTAAATATAAATCTTTCTGTAATTACCTTAACATACCTGTGAAAAGAGCAGGAAGAGAAGACTTGGCTTTTAATGTGCGACTTGTGGATTTCCTTGATGCAGGAGGAGGGAAGACAGCATCCAGGATGACAGAGGCAGCTTTGTGACTACACCGACAGCAGAGCTATCCACACAGGAAGAAAGTCTTCTAGATAACTTCCTAGACTGGAGTTTAGATTCCTGCTCTGGTTATGAAGGTGATCAGGAAAGCGAAGGCGAGAGAGATGGAGATGGTGAGAGGGTTGTTCTCCTTTATAAAAGCAGATGAGAATTAAAACTGTCTTTTCATCTTTGCTTAAAACTGTTTCTCAGGCAATGGAAGCCTGGACTTTCAGCTGAAGACCAGCTGGAAAAACTCTCCCCCTTCCCTAGTGGTTATAACTGTCGAACTATTTTAGAGGTATATATCTGTCCTCTTTCTCTAGACCGCTTCAAAATGCGATGAAGCATCTGTAGCTGCTCAGCATTTCAAAGTGAGCCTGTTTCCAGGTCCAGCTGATAGTGGACCAAATGTGCTAGATGGCCCACTGTGTTAGACATGCTATATTATCAATCTTGCTGAATTTAGAACTGGCTGTTCATTTTCTAAACAGCTCTTGGTACCTATCCAAACAGTCTGAGGAGGGGAGAAGTTTTTTTTTTAACTGGAGAGGGACTTTTCACAAGGGCATGTAGTGATTAAGACAAGGAGGAATAGCTTTAACGTGAAAGGGGAGATTGAGATGTGCTCTTAGGCAGAAGTTCTTCCCTGTGAGGGTGCTGAGGTGCTGGCACAGGTTGCCCAGAGAAGCTGTGGCTGCCCCATCCCTGGCAATGTTCAAGGCCAGGTTGGACACAGGGGCTTGGAGCAACCTGGTCTAGTGGAAGGTGTCCCTGCCCATGGCAGGGGGTTGCAACTGGGTGAGCATTAAGGTCCCTCCAGCCCAAACCATTCTATGATTCTATGAAATGAGGGTGAACTTAGTGCTCTACCCTCCTGCATGTAAGTAGGCATCAGGTTTCCACTCTTGGTTGGTTGTTTTCTGCTTCAATGCCTGCTGGGTGTTGCCCAAATCAAAACTAAACTTTTTCTTTCACCATCCCACAGTGACAAGTCCCAGTGGGATCCTTGACATGACGGTGGTTTACATGGATCCTGCGGAGCACTGCTGTCAGGACTCCAGCGATGAGGACAACCTAACTGTGGAGTGGGGTGGGCACACAGTGCCCCTGGGAGAGGCAAAGCTGCTGGATGACACTTACAGCGTTTCAGCATATCTCACCCCACGAAATCCTAACCTGGAAGGGAGCTCAGGCTACTCTTCCGTCAACAGTGCCAGTCCTGTGTCTTCTTTAGAAGGCAGCCTTGGAGTACCTCTGAAACCTACCTCAGCACTGTCTGCTGGCAGTGCCAGGAGCAGGGAGCCGTACCTGCCTCACTACCTGGAACCATGTTTACAGTCAGCCTGTGCTAGGCCTGGCATGGGGAAATGTGACAGAAGGCAAGTCAAGAGGAAAAATGTGGCAGAACACAGTGAAGAAAGGGTCAACTTGGGCTTCTTCAGCCTCTGATATCCTCATGCTCTTTATTTTTCTAAGATTCCTGGAATCAGTGTTTCTGTTGTAGTCATACAGGGATGATAATTGTCAGTACCTCCAAAAAGAGCCCTTCCCCTTAACTTTGCTTATGTCTCTCTTGTAACCTGTAGCTCAGTTCTGGGCCACTTCCTTCCTTGCTAGCTGCCTTTTTAAAGTATTCCTTGTTGTCTGATCCTCTGCAAACTAAGATCCTTCTCCACATAGGAAACGTTATAGCTCATTTCTGTCATACCTCACCCGTTACTCCTTGGTGATAGGAAAGAACTTGTCATGTCCCTTGCTTTGCTGTGAGGCCTGGTACCATAAATGAAAGGAATTGACTTTGGTTCTCAAGTTACTTGCTGTAACACTATGTTTGAATTCTTCCACTTGAAAGACCTTTTTGAGGATGTGCTGCCTCTTCCTTCTGGCCAGGTACTGTCTCACTTAGCTGGTGCTTCTCTTCTATGTATATACCATTTGCTGCACTGATACTAGGTCTTTATGGATACAGTCAAGGTAAATGAAGGCTCACTGCAGGTCTGAGCTGCTTTTTTTACCTACCTCTCAGATGGTTTTTAACTCCGTTGCCTCTGGCTCTAGCTGCCATGTTTTCCTCCCCTGAAAAATCCTCCTTTTGTGCCTTAATGCTTCACTGCCCAGTGCTCCAGTAACATGATCTCTGAACTGTTAGTGTCTGCTGGAAAAGTGGTTGAACTGCTGCCTCCAGCCACTGCCTCCACTTCATTTCCTGTCCCGCACAGTCTTCCTTGATGTTTCCATTAACATGTCCTCAAGGAAAGCACAGATCACTTGAACACTAGACCAGGCAGCAATGCAGGAAGGGCAGTCAGTCTCTTACTGAAAGCCCTAATTTAGGTCTTCCTATTAGTTACTAATCTGCAAAGGCAGCATCTGCTTTTCTTGACAATGATGAAATCTGTGCTGGCCATCTCCACTGACCTCAGCCCAGCAAGCCTGGGCTACAGCTCCTTCAGCCTGTGAACATGAGAACATCTTCTCTTGACAAACACCAGTGAAATACCAAGGTACCAGATGTGCAGGAGACATGACTGAATTGAACACTGGAACTGGACTCTGCCTCTTCCTCTGGTTAGAAGTTACTGTGGCAGTCGGCAGCAGTTCAGATACACACAGTGTAGTTGATTTTTTTTTTTTTTTTTATAAAAAATTTCTTTTTTAATACAGCTGGCTCTGTGTCTTACTTCACTGACTTGTGTCCTGCTACCCTGGGAGAACTTGGGATGTGGGGGGTTGAGGTCAGAGTCAGGTTCCTGGGATTAAGCTGTAGGCTGTTTGCATTAGTATCATGAGTAGCTGGGAAAACACCCTGCTCGAACAACCCTCACTCTACAGTAGCCCCAGAAAGGCCCTGAACGTGCCAAATAATAACCAACAGCAGCTTTGGGTGCTTGGCCACAAAGTTTATTACAAAACTATGTACTGTCACTCTAGTTAAAATAAAAAAGTCCCTGATTTAGCTTTCTGTTGCCAGGCTTTGCCCTTCTCCCTGTGGCTATGTCAGAGTTCTTGGAACAACGTGCCAGGCAGGAGCATCTTCACATTAACTTCTTGCAACAGCAGCTCAAAATTCAGCATTGGCTCACATTAAAACTGTTCTAAAACAGGGGGGTAAAAGTTAAACAACTGTGGGAAAGGCCTCACACTGCAGAAAGCTTTCAACTCTTTTGCTGTGCAAGTTGTCTTGATCTGAAAGAAAAGGAACAAAATAGGAACATTGATCAGCTCAATTCCTTCCCTGAGGAGTAACTGAGGTGATGAGGAGCTAGCTCTGTGTTTTGGGGCTTGCTGCTTAGCCTAGTGGCTTTGCTGAGGCTAAAACCAGGCCTATCTCTGTCCCAAGCCTCAATCTTGGAGGTGCCTCCTGGACAGAAGAGAGCACCTGTGGCTAGAGCCACCACTTACTGCCACAGGCCCGAGGCAATAAAACTAGAGCTAAAGCTGCTTTCTGAAAAGCAAAAGCTACAGTCCAGAGCCTTGGATCTTTAAAGAAAGAAATTTTAAAAGGACCAGAGTACATCAATTTCTATTTCGTTACCACCTCCACCCCCCAGCAGACTTCAGCCTTTGCTTTGTTAATCCTTGCTGGTTTCCTCCAAGGACAAATATTTCCAGAAAGAAATGCAGGAAACTTGCTGTGACACAGGCTAAGCCTGGCTTTTAGCACTGGGCTGGGCTCTTTACAGGGAACGGTGAAGGGCCAGTGCTCCCTCCACACATCAGGAAAGAGATCTTAGAGCCTGCTCCATCCTCACCTCCCCAGGCATGCCGGGGCACATGGAGCAGGGCAGCAGCACTAAGCTGCTGCTGTGCTCACAGCAGTGCAGGGGACAAGTGCTCCCAGCTGCTGCCATCCAAACCGTGGCACTTACTCAGGGCACCATTTTGATATCCACAGAGTCATAAGCTGAAGCTTTCATCTTTTCCAGTGGTTTCTTGAAGAGCTGCCGCAGGGCCTCATAGTCAGGCTTCACCTCATACTCCAGCACCATTACTTGCTGCAGGTAGCTCTGTAGGGCATCTGCAAGGCAAAGAGCATCACTGCATGGAGCAGCACAGTAGCTCCAGCTGTCTCTACCGAGCTGCCAACATGTGCCCCTCCAGCAACGCTCGTGGATACAGACAATGGGTATCAGCCCTCCTTGTTTTACTGTAAAAACAAGGGATTTGTCCACAGGAGCCTGTCAGTTGTGCAGTGGTTGGTCACCACTGCCAGTGGCAGCCCGGCCGGTGGCAGCCACTCTGGACTAGCACCCCAGCACAGAGAAGGCTCTAGCTTCAGGTACCCTCAATCCTCCTTCCCCAAGTCCCACTGTCACAGACAGCAAGCCTGTACCTGGAATGGATCTCTGCCTGAAGCACAGTCGGAGAAGGCATTTCACATCCTCTCTGTACCTGGAATGATCAGTGCAGAGAGCTGTCAGATGAAGAGCAATGGCACAGGTGCCTGAGCAGCCTGTCTTGGGCAATAGGGACAGAAAAGAAGGCTGAATTCAGATGGCCACGTTCTGAATGGAGCAGAAACCAGGGTTCATCAAACACCCTTTGGCCAGGCTCAGCTTTTACAGTGGGAGTTACCCACAGCCCTGTAGTGGGACTGTGCCCAAGTGATTTCTCTTCAGGCACAAAACTTCCCTCCCTGCTGTCTGCTGAGCAAGAAAGTAGCAAGGGCAGACGATTTCTCCTACTTTTCCTTCTTCTCCATCACAGTTTCTACTTTGTCCAGCTCATCAGACCAAGGTAAGAAGCCACAGAGCCATTTCAGAAGACAGTAGCCCAGAGATTCCAAGTCACTCCGCCGAGATGGTCCTGATGGGAAGGAAGAGAGATTTACAACAGAGTTTGGAAGACCCAGGCTAGTGCCTCTCCTCCAAAGGACACCAGCACTTACTGCACAACCTTGGAAGTCTGTTTGAGGTGGCCCCTCTGTAGGACAGGCAACCTCCTGAAGGGGCACAAGACTAAAGAGCAGAAGTAAAGAAATGCAAGACTTTTGTTAAGACAGGCTCTGGGCTATCAATACTTCTGGAATGCTGTGAACTCACAGTCACTTCTCAGCCTCTGGAGGAAGATTTGCCCAGTCTGAACATTGGGAAAGAACAGTCACATCCCAGCCCAGAGAGGAAGCAGCTAATTTAAAAGCTTTCCCGGCTCTCATTGCTCCAAGGTCAGAGCAGAGCCTGCTGCAAATCTGGTTTGGGCAGAGATCCAACCTTGCTTGAATCAGATCCCTACTAAGCCAGCACAAAGCTGCCCTGTTTTCTATTCCTCACACGCCTGCAGTAGCCAAGGTTCCAGATGGAGCACGAACATCCCTGCACCTCTTGCTGCAGTCACTGAGTGACCTGCCAAGTCCCAACCTAGCAGCCCAGAGAGAGGCAAGAGTAAACAGGAGCTTCATTCCAGATGCATGTGAATACCTGGAAAGCAGCAGTAACAGAAACGCCAGCAGGGAGCCCCAGCTCCAGCCAGTACTGCCACAGCAACAGCTCTAGAGCTGAGCTCAGGTCAGAAACCAACTCACCAGCTCCCTTGTGGCTGTCCACACTGATGAACTCTATTGTGCCTTCATGAGGGGTCCTGCTGCCTTCGCACCGAGCCACGTGCTTCCCTCCTGGGCAGTAACGGAAGGCAAAGCAATAGCCTGCAAGGGTCACCTAGGAAATCATCAAGAAGCACAAGTCTGAGTGTGTGTGTGGTAAGAATTCTGCTTGCAGTCCCATGAACCTGCACCACAGCACCTGCCTGAGCACTGCACATGATGCACTGCCTGGTCCCAGGAACCTGGGTGTTGCTCTATCCTGTTTCATAAGCCCACCTGCACAGCACCACCTCCTACCTGCGTGTGGTCTTCTGGGTTCAAATATATGTTCTCAGCTGTGATGTCCCCGTGCACATACTCGTTCTCATGGATGTACTCCAGGCAGTCCAGCTAGGAGCAAACAAGAGAGATGAGCATATCAGAGCCACACAGACTCCCTCAGCACCCCAGCTGTCACTGAGCTGGAGCCTCCCCAGGCTCCTCACAGCTGTGTGGAGAGGCAAACAAAGCTCTGTGTCTCTCAGCTTCTAATGTTCAAGTGTCAGGTTTCTCTCATTCTCCTTACCCCAAATTCCTTCAAGGTGACATATTGTCCAAAAGATGCTACTCAAGTTTACTACAGCTCAAGAGATGCTACTGAGACACTTCAACCAACCAACACACACACAACCCCCGCCCCGGGTCAGCTTTACACCACCTTCGAGAGATCCAGAAGAAAGTTATAGGTCCTTTCTGGAAAAGTCTCTTAGGAAGCAGTGGTTCTCTACCTACCAGCCGGACTACAATCTGAAAAGCTGCCTTCTCCCTCAGTAGGTGCAAGCCATCATTCAGGACAGACTGAAGAGTTCGCCCTAAGTCAGAGAACACCAAAAACCTACAAAAGACAAGGGCTTAGCACACAGCACCCAATCTGGAAACACTGCCATAGCCACTCGCCAATTCATCCCCTGATTAGAGCCCCCTTCAGTTCCAGTGGGTTTGGGCAAACATTTCCTCAACTTTTGATAACAGAAAACTTCTTGAAAGGGGGAGAGATACTGATCAAGTGTTGCAGATACAAAGCCTGAGTCTCCCCTTTGGGTTAAACTTAAAAGGCAGGAATAAAGGGAAAGTAGCAGGAAGCAGCAAAAGCAATGACTTCACCAACAACAGAAGGACTGAAGGGAATGAGATAATGGGGCAAAAATCAGTGACATAGGAGCAGTGCTTAGGTTTGGGAGCCCAGAATACAACAAGAAGAGGAACAGCAGACAGCAAGGAGGGGAGGGAAAGTAAAAGGTGGTGGCAGTTGTGGGCCAAAGAGCTCAGCTGTGCCCTCCACAGAGTCAGCTCACCTGTAGCTCTCTGCATGCAGTCCAAAGCCAACGCAATTGGGTATTCCCAGCAACGGCACAGAGTGCCCCTTCCTCCACTTCTCCACTAGAATGGAAGAGGACAGAGTGCAGCAGATGCTGCCCAGGAGCTCCAGCAGGAAGGAGCTCAGCTGGAGATGCCCTTTCTCCAAAGGCTGCTCTGCCCTGGGCAGCTACAGCTGGATCCTCTCTCATAGTGATTCTGTCCCAGAAATGCCAGCCTTATGTGCTGGGGTATTGGTGTGTCAATGCGCAGTGCTGCAGAGCAAGAGTGGGACAGACAGGATTCAGGAATACTAGAGCAGGCTAAGGCATATGGTTGCTACAGGGCAAGGGAAAATGAGAAAGGGGGAGAGAGAGGGCTGGAGAAGCAGATTTTTACAGTCCTCCAAGAAGTGGGGGTTTGATGTGATCTCCCCTATCATCCCTGCCCATGTTCTGTGGCTCTGGTTTTCGGGTCAATGCAGTAAATACCAGATAGGAGGTGACAGAAGCACCCATGGAAGGGGCACAGAAAAGAGAGGGAGCCAAGGCAGGTCACGCTACAAGGCTGAACAGCTACACTGAGATCGAGACAGAGCAACAGAGCTTCAAAATGCCAATACTGCAGTATCCAGGTACACAGGGACTCCTGGGAGAGCAGGCTCCTGACCCAAGTGCGCAGCGCCCTGGCACTAACCAAACAGTGAATTAATTCATTGCAGCCTGGCCGTTGGAGAGACTCACATGACTGATGAGAGTGGGGTGGCAGTTTTCCTACAAGCAGCCTAGTCCCTGCCCCTCCAAGAAGCACCAACCTGTGGCCGCCTTCGCAGCTCGCTGGAAGAAATTCTGTTCATTGTAGATCCTTCCACCTTTTACATCCTAAAGGGAAGAGGAAAGACCATTACCACAGCCACACACCCCCTGCTAGAAGAGGAAAATTGGGCAAGTTTACTACAGGACCTTCACTACTCATTTTAAAGAAAGCAATAATCCCCCACAAAAAAAGTAAGTACCAGAGCAGCAACAAAACTCAGGTCTTTCAGGTCACTAATGCTGCACCCAACAACCACAAATGCTCCAAGATCAGCACAGAACCAGGGAGCAGCTGTCTCACATTGGACATTTCAGGCACTACCATTTACAACTGCCTGTGGGTTATAACCATATCAACAACACAGACCTGCTGCAAGGCAGAGCGAACTCCAGCCCCAAAGCTGTTGCGTTAAAAGGAGCAGAGGTGACTTTGTTCCCCAGAGCACAGATGAGGTTCTTCTGCAAACAGGCAAGTCTCAAAGAGCTGTAACACTTTATTCTAGTTGTCAGAAAGGGAGAAAGTCTGTGACATTTAGATGTCTGGGCAGTGTGCTGACATCTTCAATCCAGCTTTTTTAATCAGCAAGCAGTACTGCACTTTAACTACTGCTGTTACTGAGTAACTTGCAGTGCATATAGTTTACAGTCAGTATGGCAGAATCCCAGACTGGTTTGGATTGGAAGGGACCTTAAAGCTCATACAGTTCCAACCCCCTGCCATGGGCAGGGACACCTTCCACTAGACCATGTTGCTCCAAGGCCCGTCCAACCTGGCCTTGAACACTGCCAGGGATGGGGCAGCCACAGCTTCTCTGGGCAACCTGTGCCAGCACCTCAGCACCCTCACAGGGAAGAATTTCTGCCTCAGAGCTCATCTCACTCTCCCGTCTGGCAGGTTAAAGCCATTCCCCCTTGGCCTGTCCCTACAGACCCTTGTCCAAAGCCCCTCTTCAGGTTTCTTGTAGCCCCTTTTGGCACTGGAAGGATGTATATGTGTTTGCCTACGCACACACACACACATATATATATATATATTTTCAGCACACTGCAAACTAACTTGGGACAGATGCTATCATGCAGGGGAGGAAGCAGCAGTTTTATATTCTAGCTGGTTTGACACCAAAGGCCCTATCCACAAGTGGCTGAGGTAGCTGGAGGATCAACAGGCCCCAGACAATACAAACACCTATGTTCCGGAGGGTATTTTATTCAGCACCTTGCCTGGTGAGCAGATCTGAGCCACCAAACCCAGGAGCCATCTCCTCTCGTGTGCATTATCAGACTGTACACACCTCAGCAAGGCAAGGGCTGGGCCAGCAGAAGGCTACCAAGCAAAACACCCGAAAAATGCCAAAGGTGCTAAACAGGGTGGCTGGAAATGTGTACACAAGTTTCCTTCTGTAAAGCTTCCCACCTACTGCTGCTTGTTTTGTGGCACTTGGCTGTCTTTTCTCATTAACACTATTCTTTCTCTGGCCTCTTAAATGTCTCTTCTGACAAAATGGACAGTGACTTTTCACCAGGTCCCCCCAGAGCTATCAGCACTGGTCCTCCCACAGACAAGTGGTCCTCCCAGGAGCCACAGCAGACTAGAAAACAGCTCTGCTCTGGTTTGTGAGTTACTGAAAATCAGTCAACTGGATTCCCCTGCAGAGCAGCTGTTACTGGAAACGGCACACTTCTGGAGAACCCACATTACTGGCGAATGCCTGTGAAGCTGGCTCAGAACCCCATCTAGAATTGGTTTGATCTGAAAGCACACTCTGGCCTTACTGAGCCTCTCAGTGTTGGTACGTCACACTACCTCAGCACAGCCACCCAATTCTAATCTACCCAGTTTCCCCAGACTTCAGCAGGGTACATACACACTTGCCACACAGGAAAAAAGCAGGTCTGACATTAGAGAATCGAGATCTCCACCTTACACCACCAGATCCAGTTTTGGAGGTACTGAGCCTGGCAGATCAAAGAGGCAAATGTTCTGTGATTAGGGCTTTTGGGGGTTTTAATCCTCATATCTATTTTCTTCACACCTTTAGTGGAAGAGCCAACTTCTACCGAAATCCAAGCATGATACTCTCAGGAAGTTACATCCATCTCCTAAACGAGGTGGGGCCTCTGTGACCACCTTCTCTGAGTTCCTGGGACATTTCTCTCAGCCATATAGGGCAGACAGGGCAGGTCCTGGACACAGCACACTATGCACTTCACTATTCCTTACCCAAATGGATCAAAACTCACAAGTTTGAGGGAGTATCTTTGCTTTTGAGGACAGGCTCCAGATGCTGACTGCGCTGTGGAAGGATGGAACAGATGTGGTTACAAGAGCATGGGAAAGAGGTACTGCAGCATCAGCTGCACCATTAAACACAGCCCGTCCAGCTGCTTCTACTTATCCTCTGCTTCTTTCACTTGGTCTTCGCAGATCCCTACAAGATAATCCTTACCTTGCTCCCAGAAGCACAGCACCCTGACATGCTGCAAGTGCAGTTCTGCTTAAGCCACAGAAGCATCTCAGCATGGCTACAGTAGAGGGGTGCTTTAAGGTGGCATGTGAAGAACAAATCATTAGTAGAATCCCAAAGGCACCCCCAAATTCATTTGCTGAGCATTCCCTCCAGCTCAGTTTGTAGTTTGTCAAATCTGTAAGACGCCGAAGTCCCTTCTGCTCTGCATGGGTGTTAAGGGTGATATGTGGCCTTCCTCCTCCAAAAGGATTTGCACCCACTACTTGCCCTTAGGGTAGCTTCTCTGCTTCTGCTCTTAGACCAAGTGCTGTACACAGGTTACCTGCTGCTCATCACCTAAAACCTGTCTTTATAAAATCACTGTAACAGCAACAATATTTTCTCTTTTTCCAACATCACATCCTTATGAAGACATAGGTGGATGCTCAGCCTTTGTTATGCAACAGCATAAGTAATGAAAAAGAAACTAAAGCCACATATCAGGTAAAACTTACTAATGGAGAAAATCCCTCCAGAGCAGTTCCCAAGTTAACAACAGAGAGTAAGATTGAAACCTTTCCTTTGGAAGTTTACAAGCAGACTGGAAAGAAAAGATCAGTCGTCACTAAGCAGCTGAGAAGCAGCCCAGATGATTTAGCTGCTTTCTGGCCCCCAAAACAGGCTGAGAATCCTGAATTGGCATTTGGTTGATATTCACAGAATCCCAGACTGCTTTGGATTGCAAAGACCTTAAAACTCACACAGTTCCAACCCC